TAAGCTGTCAAAAATGAATGAAACGTGGCTGAGGAAACGTCTCTGCCAATTAGTTATTTTTAAAGTCAGAACTGCTTGCTCCTTCTAGATATATGCTTTATTATTTTCCAGGCAAGTTTGCAAAGGTCAAAGTGACAGAAATGACTTGGCCGTCAGCCATAGGAAAAAAGGTTACAAGCTGAGGTTAGAACGAGTGATGCTGGGGTCCTCCTGCTGTCAGGAGGCAATGGAAATGGCACTCCTCAGGATGGGATGAACAGACTGCTGGAGGCACAACTTTCCTCTGTCTCTACACAGATATCCAAGGAATTCTAAATGAAATGCCTTCTCAGCCAGGCTGGTGGTTGAAGCAGGGCAAGGCCCCCACTACCCACACGTCCCATGTCCTGGCTGCCAGCAGGATGCTCTTGCTCCTCACTCACCCACTTGTGACCGTGCAGCATGGCTTCTGTTTCAAACACAGCCCTTTCAAGACAGATTCGGAGAGCTGGCACACAGTGCAGGATAATAAATCTCTTTTTATGGGCTGAAGCTGACATTATTGCGTCTAGTGTCTTCCTGATGGGGATGAAGGAGGAAGAAAGACTGCTGAAAGTTTGCCTTAGGGAGTCACCAGGCAACAGGGCACTTTGGGTGCCAGGCCCTGAGGTGCTGCCAGTTAAACCCTGCAAATCCCAGGAGACAAATCCTGGCTCCCCTTAAATGTAAAGTAGGTGGGGTTTTTTTTGTGTGTATTTTATTTTTGCCACTGACTTAAGCAGAGCCAGGATTTTACACCAGGCACCTGGAGAATGGAAACTGCTGGCACCCAAAAGGCTGCTCCTCTCCAGTCTTCTCCTACTTGATTCCAAATGGATTCCAAGCCTGGGGAAGAACAACTGCAGTACTGCAGATGTGTTGTGTGCTGCAGCTTTCAAATTGAAGAGACTCGATGTTTTTTGCAACCTCCCCTGCACATCACAGCCCTGCAGAGCTCAGTGCAAAGGCAGGAGTAAGTGTGAGGACTTTGCTCACGCTGAGGACTTCGTTCCCAGGCGCGTGGTGCTTTTGGCCCCAGGTGGCAGCACAGCTGTTTCAGCTCTATTGCAGACACTGTATCTAAACGGTACGGCTGGCACCCTTGCAAAGGGGCACTTGTCTCGCCAAACGGGCTGCCCCAACCCCTCCATGTCGCTCTCCCACTCACCAAAAGGCACACAGATGACTCGCAGCCCGGTCACCGGCCCCAGAGCAGCAGATCTGCTGACCGTTCAGCTCACAGCTCTCAAATCACAGCACAGCAGACACTCCTCTGAGCTCCATCCTGCAGCTATTCCTGTTTCTGCTTTGGAAGTCTTCCCATGTCTGTGGCTGGCTCAACCACTTAATGGGGTCCTGGGGTTTTTCCCAAGATGAGGACGCTCACTGAAGGCTATTCACTAAGCGAACAGAGAAATCCTGCAGTGATACCCAATACTTGGGGCCAGTGCACTGAAAACCCCATTCATTGTTGCCAAGCCACCAGGGGCAGCCACACAGCTGCAGTTTTACCTGCTTATTTGTTTATTTAATGAGTAACTGTCACTTTTTAGCTCGGTAATGTCAGATTTCTGCTCCAAAAGGATACGCACACACTCACACGCGTGTATACATTTCCTGCTTGGCAGGCTGAGCCACAGCACGGGTCTGAATGCCTCTCTCAGAAGCACAGAGCACCACACAGACACAAACACTGCTGGGGGTACCTCAGCTCAAACATCACAGCCCTATCGATGCACCACTGTGAGCCTGGGGTATCATTTAGGAACCCTTAAAGAAAAAAAAAAAAAAAAGAAAAAAAGCTGGTCATATTTCCATTTGCATTTCATATCTGGGATGCACCACATGTCCTGCTTCTGCATTCAGTCCTAGCCTGTACCCGATCTTTTTTAGCTACTCAGAGTTTTCTGAAGCAAATTTATTGGCATTTGAATTTCGCAGTGCTGAGACTGACGAACAAAAACAGCAGAGTGTTTCTTCTTCTGGCTGCGCACGTAAAAATGCTCTCTGTTTTAAGTTTTGGCCAGAACGCCTGCAAAATGTGGTTGGAAGTTATACTTTCTAACCTGGCTTTTATCATCACTCTCAGGAAGCTGTAAAGAGTAAGCACTTTTAAAGTGAAATCACTTGAGTTCAGTAGTTCTGGAACCTGGCTTTTAAGGTTGGAAATGGCCCTCAAGGGCACGAGGACATTAATGCTTCAAATTTTAAAAGTGTCTGAGCTTTTAGTTTCTGAATCAAGTCAGAGCCTACGTAAACTGAGCACAGGAAACCTCAGATGCAGAGATAAAGTACATTTGGGAAACTATCAAACTAGACAGTTGAAGATCAAAGCTCTCACAGTTTGCTGTATCGTGTTCTCTGGCCCTGTTGTCTTTTCATGAAATTGAAATTTCACATCAGTATCAGCACCACACTTAGACAAAGGAATTGAGAGTGTGAAAAAAAATCAGAAAAATGCTTATTTCAGGTGGAAAGCCTGATGCTAGCCTTGTCATTTCCCTTAAAGCAGGTGCTGGCCAATTCTGCAGCTTATCACAACATAACCTTAGATACGTGGAAAAAGAAATGTCAGTTCATATTACACTCTCTAATTAAGAATTCTATGCAAGCATTAAGCTTAATGCTGTGTATGACTTGATAATTTGTTAGCTATCCCTGCATTTGCATTGATTCTAGCTTCTCTGTACAGCAATATGAGCTCTTAACATCAGTGACTCCCTGTGTCACTATGAGATGCATTATGTCCCTGATAGATGAATTAAATATTGTCTGTATGACTTTCTCTGTTCTGCACCATCTCAAAGTACACGTCAGCGTATGGAGAGGGAACTGCACATACACAGAACCATACAACAGTGTAGGTTGGAGGGGACCTCAAAGGTCACTGAGCTCCAACCCCTGCCACAGGCAGCTCTGCCAACCACTAGATGAGGCTGCCAGAGTCCCATCCAACTGGCCTTGAACGATAGGGTGCATCACAGCTCTCAGAAGCCTTCCTCTCCTCACAGCTCACTGCTGCGAGATCCTGTCTCACACGACATTAAGCAGCAGGCTTGAAATCTCACAGTAGACAAACTGAAGTCTGTCAGCCCTTCCTAAATGAATTTACAAGTGGGGAATGGGAGAATGAGATGAATGGCATGGGATGGTTGTGCACGAGTGCAGGGAAGCAACTGAAAATATTTGTGGAGATCTAAGCACACCAGCCCAAAAATACACACATACTTTCCACTATTTAAATATCTTGTCTCTGGGTGGAAGCCAAGCATTTTTCTATTTATTTCCACTTATACCACCGAGATACAAAAGAATTTAATCCCTTCATTCAGTATGTTAAGAAAACAGCAGAAGGCTGAGCATCCTGGAAAAGGACAAGGTGTTAGGAGGATGCTAACTCATCGAGCATCCAGTGCTGAAGGAACGAAAGCATTTCCGGTTGCTGCAAGCTCTCTCTCAAGGGAGATGTGAAAAGGCTGCATTTGGTCCTTGTAAGAAGCCAAGTTCCGCCTGTGATAAGCATTAGGAACGCATGCAGCGATACCTCTTGTTTCCAGCCTTCCTGACAGCTACTTCCAATTTGCATTTCTAAGCGGAATTAGCAGAGGAAGGAGATTTACACATTCCATGCTGGTGGGGACCGTTTGGCTTGAGCTCCTTGCAGAGAGGCTCCTGTAGAAGCCCAAACCTCCAGTTAACCTTCAGTCAGAGGGCCAGAGTAACAGGAGAGCTGACCCTTAGCTGAAGACCGTGGACTTGTGCTAAGGGCAGTCTGGCTTCAGGCCACCAGCTCCCCACGTGCCATTATACAAGTCATTCAAACTCTTGGTCTTTACCCATCTTCACAGGGGTTGAATCCGTTTGTCTGACTTACATCATTGCTGTCTGAGCAGAAAAGATTAAGCAAATCTTTTTTACTGATTGACCAGTGAGCCCATCTCATGCAAAAACTGTGCTTCTGAGATCAAGGCAAGGCAGCTATAGTCACTCTTAAGAAACACTTATCAGTGCTATCGTTGTGTCTTGCAGGAAAACAGCTGTCGCAGCTGGAGAGACCAGAGCTGGTTATGCTCATAGCTACCCTGTTCCCCATGTAATTCCTCCACCCCTCCTCATCAACTTGCTGCTCGTGGCTAATGCCAAGCTGGTCCTCCTTCCTGATCTGAGACTGCTTTTATGAGGCAAGGCTTGTCACAGTTACTTACAGACACTGACAGCACAGCCAAGAAAACCCGTGCCTCTCTCTGATTTCAAAGACTACAAGGACAGAAATTCACACTACTGTAATAATGCCAGTCTGATACCAAGGATGCCTCTGGAGGACAAATGCACAGAGAGGAACTGGGTCTGTACAGCTCCTGACACTAGCAAGAGAGAAAGGAGAGAGAGGTGTGGTCTGATTAGGGTAAAGGAAGCAACACATTTGGTATCAAGTCAGTGTGAAGTTGATTTGCTCTGAAATGCCAAACCACCTTTGGCAATGCCTAGAACTCAGCCTAGGAGAGAGATTATTGTCAAAATGTAATTTGTAGCTAAATGGATTTCTCTCAGACCCATGAAATATTCACATTTGTTTCACATGATTACAAACTTGCAGGACTGCAGCCTCCCCACATGCCACCTCATTGGCTGCCTCCAATAGGCTGTTGGCCTTCCCTAGCACCTTGTATCTTGCCAAAACTCGTATTTTCCAGCAATCTCAGGGTCCAAACATACTGTTTTCTGGTTCAGCTTAGAAATCCCTAGACCTCTTTGACACACAGACAAAAAGAAAAGACATTGCAGGCTGCAAGCAGATACAGGGACTATTCAGGCCTTCTGCAGGACTAGCTGAATGTGAAATGACAGAGGACAGAGCTGTAATACTATAACGTTATGGAAAGTACAGCAATAGAAGCAGGGTGGCACAACCCTAGGCTGCAGCAAACAAGAACCAGCCCAAACACAGTAGCTGCAGACACAGAGGAATAAAACCAGCTTACCTTTAGAAGGTCTCCAATAGGCAGGATCTCCAGAGAGACCCTCACCTCCATTGCCAACCCTTAATGAGGTCTGGGAAGGGGTGGATCTTGGCTCCACTCCTGGTCACTCAGATACATTGCAAACACCTGAGCTCCCCTGGGAGGCCCTGCCTTCCCACCAGGTGATCAATCAGTCAGGCCATGATTCAGCATTTTTGCTACAGGAGCTGAAGGCTTCCTGCCCTAATTTGTCAAGATAGCATAATGAACTGCAAGAGCAGGCTGTCAGGGTCACTTTGCCAGCCATTTATTTGCAGGCAGAGCTAATGCCAAGTCAGGCTGCAGGATTCTGTGTGCTGTGGAGGCCTCCCTAAGCCAAACAAGAGGCCCGTGCTACATGTTTCTCCACAGGGCTGCAAGGTTTAGGTGCATGGCTAAACTTTGCTTTGTAAAAAAAAAAAAGCAAATATAAATATCCTAACTTGTATCATGAACAGGTTGCCCAAGTAGGTTGTGGATGCCCCATCCCTGGAGGCATTCAAGGCCAGGCTGGTTGGTGACCCTGCACACAGCAGGGGGTTGAAACTAAATGATCATTACGGCCCTTTTCAACCCAGGCCATTCTATGATTCTGGGACCATATATCTACAGAAATACATAAATATAAAGCAGAAGCGGACTCGGAATCTCAGCAAAGCTGTGACGGATTCAACCATAAGGCGACTTATGTGACTGGAAAGCCACAGGCAGGGCTGGAGATCCCACTGGAAACAGCTGCAATAAAACCAGGTATATACTCACTGTTTTTCCCCGGTTTCTGAGTCGATCAGCTGCAGCTTGGTGTCCTCTGGGCTGTGTAACTGAGTGACTCCTCTTCCATCCTTCAGTGTCGATGCCCCCTAAGGCAGGTGGAGCTGCCTGGGATGCCTATAGAGCCTCCTGCCAGCCCACACCAAGCAGCTCCAGCATTAAGCCTCTGTGTGGCGGGCTGGGATACGAGATATGCTTCTCGGTTCCTCCAGGGCTCCCCAGAAATGTTCAGACTGTTTTGCAAACACATGTGAGAGCCAACGTGGCCACGCAGCCCCCTCCCTCACCCTGGGGCGAGGTGTGAGGAGAAAGGACTGAAAGTCCTGTGCTGTCACAGCCCAGCCCTTCATGCCTGCTGGGTAGGCTGACCCACAGGCTGCCCTCCCAGCATCACAGAGAACACCTGAAAAACACCCCCACACCGAAGGCATCGTTTTGATATGATGTATTTATATTTACATGGTACATTTTAAAGCAATAGCTACACGGATCATACATATTAGAAACAATAAAAAAAGAAGTTAAGAACTAAAATGTACATCATACACTTGTATATATATTTTTTACACAGAGGTAAAAAGGCTTATAAAAATCAATACAACAGGGTTTTAACTTTTAGTATATAGATACAATAATGATGAGGCTTCAGGCACTTTAATTTGTTAATGTGAGCGATAGCTTGAAAAAAAAAAACATTTTTCATGACAGAAAACAAATTTGGTTAATGTTTCGTTACCACAGATACAAAAATAAAATCTGAATAATTTCTCTCGAATGATTGATGTCAGTATTGCAAAGCTGACTGGGAGAACGCTACACACTGTTCAGCAGCAGTGTGGAAAGTAAGGAGGAATATTTACAAAAAACACCCATTTCTATCATTGTGCCCTTACACCACTGCCTTCACAAACCCAAGAACGCACGCAGCAAAAATCTACAAGTATTACAAAAACCCAACAGGAAAAGAGGGAGGAAGAAGGAGGGAGGAAAAACTGGAAAAAAAAAAAATAATAAGGGAGGGTTTTTTTTTTTAATGATTATTTTTTATTTTTATTTTCAGACATACGGAAAGGCTTGGAGTATGTCTACTTTATTTAAATAAATAGGGGCACTTCAAGACCGGACAAAAAACTGTAAGATCTTTTTTGTAGTGTTGTGCTTTGTAGAGAGAAGATCTTACAGATGTTTGTTTACATGAAACAACTCGGAGAACAGAAATAAAAGGAAAAGGTTGTTCCATAAAATTGTTTTCGAGGCTGGCTTGATGTTTACTAGACACCATTGAGAGATTTGTCAACTGCTATTAGGCACAAAATATTTATATTTCATTCAGCAAACCCAGACGCATCACCGAGTGTGTAACACTCCATCCCTTTTGCATTATCATTCTTTTTCTTTTCCAACCAAAAGATCCCCAGCAACTGCTACAAATTAAGCCTACCGAACTCTATAGTGTATAAGCACGTTGCATACTTTGTTCATGGTTTACTAAAAAGCTGTGATTAACTCTCAGAGGAACCGTTGGGACATTCCACCAAGACAAAATGGCAAGCGTTCCTTTTACATTTATTTGGCAAAAAAAAAAAAAGAAAAAAAGAAACAAAATCCTCTCTTTTAAGACTGATGTCAATGTGCAATAGAGGGAGGGAAAGGACATGCGCTCACTGGCAATTTACTGCAGAAAGAAATTATGGCAGGAACAGCAGTGCCAGCTTTGACAAGCCAATCCCTAGCTGCCTCAAAGTATTCAGATTGTACTATGCTAGTTAGAGCTCACTGCGCTAAATCATTTTTTTTTTTTAATAAAAATTATTTGGCTATTCCTGTAATATATTAGAAAAATACTCTTTTTTTTTCCAGCTAATTACAAGCCTTGTACACAAGACAACATGACATTTAAAAAAAATTAAAGTAATTTTATCCCGCTGTATGCACCTTATGCATCCACTTGATAAATCTGGGTGGTGAACTAGGGAGGGGAAAGTGAGGGAGACGCTTCGGTCTGGCTCCTGCAAAGACTCCTGTGATTAATCCTATACAAAGAATTACATAAATGCTGGTTGCATATGCATTACATTGGACATCTGTAAGCATCCGGAGAATCAGAACCGTAGGTCAGGAAATGAAAGTGGTGGTTAACATCCTGGCTTTTGATTTTCAATACCTGTTTAGACTGCTAAACGTAGTTTCTACCGTGAACACACGTGTTCTGGTGCTCACATATTATACAGGAAAAAATAAGCAAACACTATTTTCCATATAATCCACCACTTAATGCAGCATTTCCCCAGAATTGCCATGGATTACAATAGTGCTTTTGACATTGCATTGTTAATAATTCTTTGCATAACAACAATTTTCCTCATCTGGAACTGTAGTGTTTTATACTCAAATCATTACATGGCTGTCTAAAGAAAAAGTTCCCTTCTTTTGGGCAGAACTCTGAAAACAGAGTTTTATTTTTCCAAAGTTATTTAGGGAAAAAAGAAAACACTAAAATGTAAAGTTTCCCTTTCAAGTAGTGGTCTGAAATGATTACAGGTAAGGAGAACTACCAGATTCTCAATGGTTATGTGACTATGGTAACTGAGCTTCGCTTTCTGTTCGTAGAGCTTGAAGAACAGAGAAATAATTTAAGATGTTTGCTGAAGGAAATGACGATGGACTCTAGAAGAGAAACTGCAGCTTACATGGCTATTTTGGCTTTGGAAAACAGAACAAAAAAACAAAACAAAAGAAAACCAGTGACAGAAATACTGTGTTGTGGTACAAGTTTGTTACTAGCACACCTTCCATACACACAATAACTTGACAGCAAGTTAAAATATCTTCCAAGTGAGATCTCGTTCACTACGCCACCCCGCTTAGAGAAATGCCAAAACTTGCTGGCACACCGATGGTACCGCGCGAGCAGAGGCAAGACGGACACAACCTGGAGATGTTCTACAATCCACCACCATTTAAAGCAGTTCTTAAACTCGTTTTAACTGAAAAAATAATATAAACATGTACAAGACAGTCTGTTTGATTACAGATTAATAATACAAAAGTCTATGCTGTACGTTAGTTAGTTAGAACACTTGATGAGCAAATCAATGCAGTGTGAGCCCCAGACGATCGAACGTAAAATGATCCAAACTGGTGGTTTCTGGATGCTGCTGGGCACAGTGGCTGCATCAAAATAAGTGATCTCAATGCTCCAAAACCAATGTGTTCCCCGAACTACAGGAAAAACATAACACACCGAACTCATTTGTAGTCATCCAGCAGCTTTGTGTTTTCCACCACAGCACCTGCACATGACCCCACAGTGGTAACAAGCCCGAAGCGGCAAGTAACAGCACATACATGGAGCAATGAAAGACAAGGCGATAAGGGCCATCCACCGGAGGCAAAACATTTCATCACTGGTGTCACACGAACAAGGATCTGTAAAGTCTCCTTCCGGATCGGACATACAGTGATAGAGCATAGTGTCTGCACACCACATACAGCTCACTCGATGGATGCAAGTCTTGATGCGGTCAGGAGCATCCTGGCATTGACCCCGTTTGTTCTCCTCATGATTGAACATGTCCCTGCAGTACACGCACCGTGACCTCTCACCATCCTCCTTCCGTCTGGGCTTGAATTTGACAGGTTGAGTCTTTATCACAGCACCCTTGATATCTTCACCCAGGTCAAAGTCTGAGTTGTCTACGTAAGGATAAGTGTACTCGTGTTTTGAGGACTCGCTTTTGGCAAAACGTACGTAGGAGTCCACGTCATCAGGATCGAAGTTCTTTCCTCGTGCTGGAGCATGGCGATAGTCCTCATATCCAGTCATCCAAATCTTCTCCCGAGGATTGATGCGTACTATTTCCTCATCGTCATCTGGAAAGTTGACGTGCCGGTAGGATCGTGGTACTGACTGTAGAAGCAGGGACGGAGATAAAGAGGGAGAAAAGATTAATAAGCTGTTTGCACGAAGAATCACAGAATTATGGAGTGGCTTGGTTGGAAGGGACCTTAAAGGTCACCTAGTTCCAACCCGCCGGCTGAGGGCAGGGCTGCCCCTCACTAGCTCAGTCTGCTCAAGGCCCCATCCGACCTGGCCTTGAACACCTCCAGGGATCTGGGGGCATCCACAGCCTCTCTGGGCAATGTGTCAGCACCTCACCACCCTCTGACAAAGAGATCTTCCCCTAATTTAAATCTCCCTTTTGTTTAAAACGATTCCCCCTTGTCCTATCACTATCAGACCATGTAAAAAGTAATTCTTCCTCCTGACTATAAGCTCCTTGTAAGTTCTGAAAA